CTGAGCTTCCATAAGCAAGTGAAAACCTGGCTTTTTACCCATGCCTTTACAAACCTCACCCCTCTGTGATGTTAATTTTGTACTGAGTTTATGCCAGCCCGTAGTTCGCCAAACAGGTTTTTGTTTTTTATATGCTCATTTTTTTTCTTTAATTCTTGTATCACATATTTTTGTTGTTTCCTGGAAGCTGCCCAAGGGAGTCCACTAATAGGTGGGGTACAAGTTTAAACAAACACATAAATAAAACAAATTGTGTCTTTGGATAGTTGCAATTTGATTTTCTATCACCTGAAAAGCTCCAGTCAAAACACCACATATTTGGTATATTTTGGGGAGATGTATGCTTCCCAAATAAAGCTGATGTTCAGCCCTCCTCTTTTTGGAACTTACCACTCAGTTGCTTTGCAAACATTGCAAGACACAATGGCCAAAATCCTGTTGCTTAATGTAGTAAGTTGCTCTGGAGTAGGTCCATTGAATCAATGGAGATTGGATGAAGCAATCTTCATGGATTCAATGGGCCTGCCCTAGTGCAATTGACTACACTAAGCAACAGGATTTTGGCCATGGTATCTTATAGTGTTTGCAAAGAAACTGAGTGGCCATTTCTAAAAAGAGGAGTGGGAAGCATACTCTACTCCAAAATATCTCAGATATGTGGTGGTTTGATAGAGCTTCTCAGATAGAAAAGCAAACTACGGTTCCTCTATGTTCCATTGATCCAAATGAGCCTACTCTAACTGTAATTTACAGTGCTGAAGTCAGCTGCAGTTAGAGTAGTTCCATTTGAATCAATGGAACTTATGGAATTGACTCACCAAATCCCCATTGACTCAGTTATCCTATCTTAGTGCAATTTATTATGCTAAGCAACAGGATTGGGGCCAATGGCATTATTTTCAAGACTAAAAGTACTGTACCAGAAATAAGTTCCTTTTGAAAATCAGCTTTCCAAGCTCTGGGGCTGCCCTGCTTAAAAGGGAGGCCAGTAATAACAAAACATGTGTGTCTATAGTAAGAACGTTACTCCTTTCTTTCATAATGGAACTTGGGGTTCTCCTATGAAACTGATTTTGGAAAG